ATAGGTAACAGCCAGTTTATAGACTGAGACAGACTAGGAAGAAGGAAGAGGCCGTCCACTTCTGAAAGAATTGGCCAGGGAAAACCTTATGTATGTATGTATGTATATGTATATATATGTATGTATGTATGCATATGTATATGCATATATATTAATAATCTTATGCTAAGTTCAGATTCATATTATTGTATAACCTTATAAAATCTGAAATGATATTTAAATATCCCTTTAGGTTATTCCAAAATTTATATCTTTACTGCAGCACAACAGGAAATGGTATGTTGTTTATCTTCCATATTTTTCTATTACATTGAAAGTAGTTGGTGACAGTCCTTCTTGAAAATTATGAAATCTTACAGTTGGAAGCCATAAAATTGAATGGGCCACTGAATATAGGAATTCCTTCTACATTTCTGTATTAATTTTTTAAAGAATAAATATAATTCTGTAACTTATTTTTATAATTTACTTACTTAGATATTTCTACTCTTAAATCATCTGTCATAGAACGTTGAATTATAGCATCAAAATTTGACATCCATTTTTACATAGTTTTACTTTTTCAAAGGATTTAGTTAATTTATAGAACTGTGAATGTCTCTTCGAAATGAATTCATGGCATAAAATTATGAATAAATATTTCTAAAGGATACTTATATGTTTGGGAGCTCTGGTAGCGTAGTGCCTAAGGCACTTGACTGCTAACCAGAAGACTGGCGGTTCAAACCCACCAGCCACTCCTCGGAAGGAAGGTTGGGCAATCCTACTTCCGTAGCGATACTGCCTCGGAAACCCAAGGAGGGGTCGCTATGAGTCGGGGCCGACTTGACGGCAAATAACAACAACAACAACAACAACAACTTATATGTTTGCTGAATACCCTCAGGAGGTTTGGAGATCATTCAAGAACTATAGGTAAAATTTAGAAAAATATGAGAATCATGTTTTCAGTAAAAGACTTGTAGGATCCCCATGGGAATTGCCTTCTCTGGAGTTGTGCCTATTTTTTGTTTCTCCTGGTTTAATTCTGTTTCATTTAATCTTTTTAGCTGTATTCATGGATCAGGACTTCAAACAAGAAATTTCCTTTATGCTACTGATGTAGTAGAAGCATTTCTCACTGTCCTCAAAAAGGGGAAGCCAGGTGAAATTTATAACATTGGAACCAACTTTGAAATGTCAGTTTTACAGCTTGCCAAAGAACTAATACAACTGGTATGTATATATTTTAAAAGGGTACTATTTTCCAAATTGTCACTAAAGTAGTGACACCCCCCACACACACACACACACTGCCATCAAGTCAGTTCTGACTCAGCATCCCTATAGGACAGAGTAGAACACCACACAGGCTTTGCAAGACTATAAATCTTTATGAAAGCAACTGCCTCATCTTTCTCCCATGGAGCAGCTAGTAGTTTTGAATCACTGACCTTTTGATTAGCGGTCAAATGCTTTAATCACTGCCACCAGAGCTCATGAAATTAGTGACAATAATCACTTCATTTAGTAAAAATCAAGTTTATAATTAACATAAAAGTGGGTAAAAATTAAATTGATAATAATTGACTCTATATGTTTGCTAAGACATATCATTTTAAGTTGTATCACTTGTGACAATTTTTCAAGAAAAAAATAAGCCCAAACACATTAAATATGCATACACAATTGTAAGGTATACTCAGTTTCAGAAATATAAAATTATGTGTCCTATAATTAAGGAACATATGTATCAAGGAATATGATATATAAAATAATTATAATGGTGAATATGGATATGCAATTGTGACTATCAGTTATAAATGTCCAAATACAGAAGAAGTGCTGAGTAATAACCAAAAGCCAAAAAAAATTTCATGTCTGTCATAGTTTATAAAATGCATATTCTTTTTGAGCTTCACGTGTAATTTGAGTTACAAAATATAGAAGGTTTTATTAAAATGTTATTCATTATAGCTGTTTCCCCACTTTAAAAAGGTTGTTTTTCTTCTTTTAAATCACCTATTAAATGCTATTGTTGTTCTCTGGTCTCATTTTATAATTTGACACAAAAGCCTTCTCTGTTCTGACAGATCAAAGAAACCAATTCAGAGTCTGAAATGGAAAACTGGGTTGATTATGTTAATGATAGGTGAGTAACAAACTTTATGACATCCGGGAAAAGTTGTGAAATCTTAGGTACTTACAAAATTATAAAATAGATGGACTTAAAACTAGTTTAATTCTTTTGAGTTTTCTGTTAAAGTATTTTCCTCTCATTATAAATGTAATACAAAATTAACTGTGGACCCATTACTTATTAGTTACGTAACTTAAAGAAAGTTATTGAAGCTTTCCAAGTCTGAGGTTTCCTCTGGTAATAAAATAGGAATGATAATATTTTCCTTCTAAAACTTTTTTCATAATTAATTAAAATGTACGTAAAGTACTTGACTCTGGTAGCATACTACCTGCAAAAACGGCAAGGAGGCCACATGTTCTGACCTCCTCTAATCCCACAAAGGGAAGGCAGGATTACCCAAGGTCTATTACTGCAAGGCCAGACATGCTGCCTCCCTCCAGCCCTTTCACCAACCATTCCTCCCAAAGCACCCACCACCTCTCCCCTGGGTTCGATAATTTGCTGCAGTGGCCACACAGAACTCACAGATTATGAGGTTTATTAGGGAAGCACCAGACTACAATTCAAGTTCAGGAAGAACGCTCAGTCTCTCTCCCGGCCCACCGTCCCTCAGCTGACAGTCTCTCACAGTCTCTTTCCCAGCAGTGCTGGTCCCTCAGTGTCTCACTCAGCAATGCGTGTCCCTTGCGTCTCTTTCCCAGCAGCATGTGTCTCTTTCCACAGCACGTCTTCCTCAACCAGCAGTCAGAGAGAGTTCTGCCTCTAGGAGGCCTCCTTTTGAGCCTGGCAGGGTGGTCAAACTAGCCAATCACAGCATCAGAACTCTAAGCACCTGAGAGTGGGAACCTCCCAGCACAATGTATTGTGCCACGCCCAACAGAAATACTCCAGGTGGATAACATTTACAATCAGGAGCTCCTCAGTTGCTCATTCCACCACTGACTTTACAATGACTTATGGGTAGAAAAGCCATACAAAGTAATTTACTACACCACAGTGCCTAAGGCACTTGACTGGTAACCACAAGGCTGGCAATTCAAACCCACCAGCCACTCCTCAAAAGGAAGAAGGTTGGGCAATCTGCTTCCATAGTGATACCACCTCGGAAACCCAAAGAGGGGTCACTGTGAGTTGAGTCTGACTCTATGGCACATAACAACACCAACAAAGTACCTGACATAAGAATTCTAATAAATTTATGTGTATTTATTCATTCCTTTGCTTAACATATAGCGAGTCTCTTCTGTGTGCCAGATATGCATACCTAGATTGTGATTGAAAAGAAATCACAGAGAGGGTTAGGCATCTGGGAATAGAGGTGATTTTATATATCTATATCTATCTATCTATCTATCTATCTATATATATACTTTAATTTTTTAATGTTTGGACCATGAGCATATCATCAGGGTGAATATTTTTTAAGAAAATATTTTAAATTATGGTAAAAATGCAGGGACTTTTTATTTTACTTTATATTATACTTATATTTTATTTATACTTATTTTACTGTTTAATTTGTGAAATGGTATTTTAACAGTGTCACTTTAAATTTGTTTTGTTTTCCAAGACCTACAAATGACATGAGATACCCAATGAAGTCAGAAAAAATACATGGCTTAGGATGGAGACCTAAAGTGCCTTGGAAAGAAGGAATAAAGAAAACAAGTAGGTTATGAATTGATCACTCTTGTGTCATCTCACTGTGTCTCTGATAAAGTATTATCACATTTATACCAGCAAAATATTATGCTTTTTTCAAAATAAGCTTTTTTCTATAAAATACCTTCAAAAGCAGTGTTGATACTATACTGAAAATACTGCTGTCTTCCCCCAAATTCCTTAAAATCAGAATTTGTCTTAAACACACCATCAAATCCAGTCAAGAAGGACTTTTAATGCTAAAAAGAAAAAGAAATTTGGATTTTTAATTCAAGTGATAAAATGTCTTCTGATTAACTTCACTGTTTAGATCAAAATAAAATTATTTTTGTCATTAAGTAACTCTTTGCTGATCTGACAGGCCCATCCACGCAACATGAGTTGCCTTTTCCTATCTAACAGTAGCTAAGTAAATGTTAACTATGTTTAGTTTTCATATTTTCTTTTTCTTTTTTTCCTGTCAGTTGACTGGTACAGAGAGAATTTTCACAACTGGAAGAATGCGGAAAAGGCACTAGAACCATTCCCAGTACAGTCAACATGTGTATAGTCAGGACAGTATTTGGAAAAAGAATAAAATTATGCTACCTCAACAAGTGATAAGAAATCAAGTGACCAAATGAAGTATCCTCTTCATTGGAATTAGATTCGTGACTTGCATTGTATAAAATTCAAACAAAATTCTTCAATATTTGAAAGTTTCAGTATTGCCATAAGATTTAAATAGGAAAATCCTTTCAGAAACTTTTTCTTCTGAAAATTATGAACCAGTAGATATAGATGACTCCTTACAGGTTGGTTGGGAGTGCAACAGAAACAGGTAAATTTCATTAGGAAGATGACAACCTTTTCTGAAATTAAACTCAGTGAGTTTCCAAACCTTTCCCACTGCCTAAGAATTATATTAAGTTTTCATTTTTACGCAATATCAGATGAGTTTTATGACCCAATTCACCTTTTTTTTGTTTAAGGTCATGTAGTACTCTAATTACTTTAAAAATGGAATAAAATGGAAGCATATCTAGCACTTTTTAACTTTTTATATATTTGTAAAATTAAGTTAAATGTTTTTAAAAGATGAATGTAAAGTTTTTATATTTTCAAAATCATTGTTGAAATATGTATAAGTAACCTCGTATCAGAAATTTTATCATGTATTTACTGTTAAAATTTTATTTATAAAATTGTCAGGATTTTAATGTATTTAATGCATAATGTGGCATTCTTTTTAGTGATGTATATTTTGTTATTTTACTGTAGACAAATAAAATCTGATTCTGTATGTTTTTATTTCTTTGTCTTAAACGTAACTTAAAAAAGGACTGACTGAATGTTAGATTAAAAAAGGAGAAGTCAAGATTATGCCCAGCTTTCTGGCCATGTTGTTGTTGTTAGGTGCCATTGAGTCATGTTTGACTCATAGGGACCCTTCGCACAGCAAAACGAAACACCACTGTGCCAGCTCCACGATCCCTGCTATACTTGAGCCCATCGCCGCAGCCACTATGATCAGACAGTGTTCCTGGGCTATTTATATAGTTGCCTAGTATTGTAATGGGAGGCCTGGTAGCATAGTGCCTAAGGCATTTGACTGCTAACCAGAAGGCTGGTGGTTCAAACCCACCAGCCACTCCTTGGAAGGAAGATGGGGCAATCTACTTCCATAGTGATACCATCTCAGAAACCCAAGGAGGGGTCGCTATGAGTCGAGTCCGACTTGACGGCACATAACAACAACAACAAGTATTGTAACGGACAGTGTTTCTCTGCTATTCATAAGGTTTTCTCTGACCAATTCTTTGAGAAGTGCGTGGCCTTTTCCTTCTTCCTACTTCTGGCCTTAGTGCATAGGTTACGACTTATGTTCTCTGAAGTAAGATGAAAAGTCATTAAGAGGTTTGAGTAGAATCAGAATTCTGAAATGTATGTTTTTTCTTTAGCAATATTCAATAACTTTAGATGTAGGTGAAGAAAATATAGATAAATCAAGACAGAGTTAGGCATAATACAAGCCAGGTAGGGCAGAAGGACTAAAGAGTTGAGAGTGGGAGAAGGAATTATTAAATCCATGGGTCTTAGCTGTGTAGGGAAGAAAATGATTCTAGAAGGGAGTGTATAGTGCTAGAGAAAAAGGGAGGAGGAAAGGTGAAGGAAGGAGTGGAGTTTAAGACCTCAGGGAGGCTAGGAAGTTACAGGCAAAAAGTGGAACCAACCAATGCTTAGCTTTCATCCTGGTGGTCATGGCAGGTTGTTATTCTATCTCAATAAAGGGTCTTTGGAAGTCCTTCATATTCTTCGGATTGGAGTGTCTATGAGACTATCAAACCTCCCCATATTATTGACTATCTGTAATTAAGCTTAATTTTGATGAATATACTAAACAAGGGAACTCTGGTGGCATAGTACCTAAGGCATTTGACTGCTAACCAGAACACTGACGGTTCAAATCCATGAGTCTGATTCCTATAGGATGAAAAAGGGTAAAAAGAAGGAAATCCCATTTTATAGAACATAATTTTGTTCAGTGAGATATAAGCTAATAAGAGTGTGTATGAGTGGAGTTAGAATTCAGATGCTTTTGGTCAGTGGAGTTGGATAGCTTCCTTCTCGATGTGTTGATTTGAATTAAGATTAGATGTTTTGGAGGACTGGAGTGGAGTACATTGCTCCAAATGTGTTTTCTGGGTCATTTGTTCTTGTACATATGTTTGTGTAAGCTTTTATTTCTAATTTTGCTATACTCTATGTTTTACCTTTATTGTTAACCTAATCTTGAAGTGACCTTAACAGACATTTGAGGACATGTAATGGAAAACTTTACCCAAAAAGGGTGAAAAAAAAGAAAGAAAGAAAAAAATGAGCTGAGTTACAATGAAAGCTTTTTGGTCTCCAAGAGGCCTTTGAAAGCTCTCTTCCTTTTGTCACCTACATTAGATTCCCCACCTCACTTACATGTGGTTTCCATGCCCACTTCTCCAGGAATGGTAACCAGTGAGTGCACTCCTTAAGTTTGAGCCTAAATTTTCCTTGAGAAACTGTATAGTTCTAGGTTTCACATTTAAGTCTTTGATCCATCTGGAGTTTGTTTTTGT